CATTTTGTGTTTAACGAAACCGGGTACTCCTATAGGTAACCTTCCTCTAAGAACAGCCCACAAGACTTAACGTGTCGTAGGCATGAGGGCCAAGGGCATGGGGTTTGAGGTAAAGTCCCAGCCAGGCGAAGTCAAGTAACATAAAATGATATACAAACATTAAATATCATAAACAATTATGTAAATTATAGGCATTTGATTACATTAGTGACCTGAATACGGGCAGAATCTACGAATCCTTACTTACTTTGTTATTAAATAATTGAAATACTTTAAGTTCAATAAATGAAATATTCATAATTAACAACTATTGAATTGTTAACTTTTCAAACTGATTAAAATTAATTATACTCACACGCAATCGTTCAAATATTATTTATTTTATAATTATTTAAAAATTAATATATAATTAAATTTTGATAACTTATAAATATATATTACAGATTGAGTTTTTTTTCATATTTTGCATAAGAAGAATAAATATGAACTTTTTTGTAGTTTGAAGAAAATTGCATGAATGACTGGACCATTTTAAAATTAATACCCTTAAATATATTTTCGAAATACTCTAGAAAAATATTAATCCTTAAGAAGTTATCATGCAATCCATCTACACATGAGACCTCTTTAAATTTCTGTATTTTTTTATGGTTTTCTTCACTTATATTAACGTTTGATAATAATTCTTTAGTTTTCTGAATTGAATTTTCGTTATAACGTGGATCATTTAAATCTATTTCTAACATATCAAAGGTATTAAGATCAATCATTTTTACAATATTTTTTATAATATTAGAATTTATAATATTATAGGTATTATCTTTTTTAGTTGGCTTATTTTTGAATGATTTTATGACACTTCCGATTTCTGAATTTTTAAAATTGAAAATTTTTGTCAACGTCACATTATTTAACAAGAAATTGTACATTTGAGTATTACAATTTTTAATAATATTTGAAGTTTTAATAGACATTGCATAGAATAGATGCTTTCTCATTAAATGCAAAGCTACGAATCTAAAAATGTTTAAGATTTTTTCTTGATAAACTCCAATGTTAAAAATCCATTTATGAAAAAAAGTATAAATTTTGGCATTTTTATATGCATTATTAATATCTTGAGATATAATTTTATATCTCTTTTCACTCTGTTCTCCAAAACTAATTAGTATAGTTTTAATAATATCTTCTTCTTGAATAATTTGGCAAAGATAAATTTTCCTAAGAGAAACCCAATTTTCTACTTCTTCATTGTTTAGTAACATATGATTACTATAATTTCTATTAAACATTAGCTGCACAACATTTTTTATTTTTAAAATCGTTTGTTCCTCGTGTAGTTCATTTTGATATGTGATACTGTATTTATTGTTTTCTCTACATTCTTCGTTTATACGAAATGATAAACCATTTGTTATATGATTTATAACTTTTAAATCATATTCTTGAAACCAACTAATGTCATTTCTCAAGTATTTTTTTTGGTAAATTGCATACATATACATATTCCATAAAGGGTCTAAAGGTGCCTCTAGTTTTGATTTTATTATTACACATAGCATTTGTTGAATAACTAATTCGTTCAAAAATAAATTATCTATAATATCATTTTTACTCATATTTTCAGTATAACTTGTACTATAACCACCTTTAATTATTTTATTCATTATAACATATGTACTAGGATTACTTATATGGCTCATATATTCTAAAAGATTATATAAATTACCGCAATAAAGGTCGTAGTATATTATTTGTGATCTGTCCTGCAGATTAAATGACTTTGGTTTATCTTCCTTAATTAGGATCTTTTTAAGTTCTAAAAAATCCATATCAGTTATTCCAGGGTATATTAAATAAGAAAACCCAGTATCATGTTTCAATGCTACTTCAAATTCTTCTGCATCAGCGAAAATCTTTGGTTTTGGTTTAAAACAATTACACGAAATGAATTGAATATTACAAATTATAACAATGAAGATTAATAAAACGCAATATTGATTTAAAATCATTATTATATCAATTACTNAAATATTGGTTTAAAATCATTATTATATCAATTACTTAGTCTTAGTAGCACTCTAAGAAGTCACGTAACTATATTTTAAAAAGAATACTTTTTTAAAACTCTACATATAATAGATTGTGGATATTTTAGTTTATGATTTCATTTATATATTCATTTATTACATTAAACATTGTACTTTGAAAATAGTAAGCTAAAATTGAGTAAAACCAATATACCGTTTTTTTTTTATAAGAACAAATAATAAATATATAAAGGAAAAATAAATTTAAATAATAATTACGTCACAGTGTCTAATATCGAAAATATTATAGCTCTAAGTCCCAACGACCCATTATTGAACGAATCTTTACAGCATTTCAACTATATTTTATAAATTTGTGTACTAATATGAGGTTCAACGATAATTTAAATAAAATTTTTTTATTAAAAGTCCAATCGTTTAAATTTATAAAAACTTAAACTGGTCTAAAATTCATCAAAATCAATTTGCAGGACTTTTTTTGTATTAACAAATGATGTTTTTAACGCTTTTCGGCGTACAAAATTTTGTTCCATAAACGATTATGTAATATTTCTATGAATACATGGAATATTACAATCCGTTTTCTTTTTCAGTAACCTGATCATTTATGTTTATGGTCATTTCTGTATCATTCTAGAGCCCATTACCTTAATGTTTCATATAATAGTATAACAATATTGCAATAACATAAACAATTTGCATTACAGTTGCGTTCTTAGATAATGTTATAGAACATTAATTGGTTATTATTTTATAAAAATCGATAACTTTTTTTCATGCTAACTGTTACGTACTAAGTAGGGATATTATTAGTGTAAATATAGATAACGTTCAGTTCCGTTCGAACCGACGAGCGCGTGACCGACTTCCTGTTTAATAAAGTAAATCTTTCAAATTAATTAGAGTTTTCGTGTTTTAAATTTTTTGTTTAGATACCCGCTTTAAAATCGACGTGGTCCTTCGAAACTGTATTTAATTAAAAAATTAATTAATTAATAATTATAATAATTATAAATAATAAATAAATTAAGTACGTTATTCGTGTGGTTCGTAAAATTATTAAATTAATCGATATTAGTTGTGACCAAAAAGTGTGTTAAGTGTTAAGTGCAAAAAAATGTGTAAAATAAATCGTAGGGTTATGAAAATTTACCCGTTATAATTTGCTAAATTTTAAAGTTAATTGTATAAAATTATACAACGCCGGTTATATTGGTTACGGGAAATTTCCGGCCGTAGTAAAATAACAACAAACTACGGTACAACAATAAGTTTAGTTATCGGAACTCGTTCAGTGAAAAAAAAAATCGATTAGGTAATAATGAGCATAGCATCAAAGACAGCATTGCTCGTTATACAGAGGGGAGTGGAAAAAACGCGGCTCACAAAATTTGTAAATAAAATAAAAGAATGTCAAAGCGATGGAGACATTTTACAGCTCGAACAACGAAAAGAAAAAATGGAAGAAAGTTGGCAAAACTTTCAGAAAATTTAGTCAGCGATCGAAGTGTCAGTAGACAACATCGAACCAGAGATCACGTATAGATGTGAGTTTGAAGATACTTATTTTCAAGCTATTGTGCCAGAATAATAGATAAGTACGTAAAGGAAAATAATGAAAAACAAAGTCTGAAAAATATGGTTCCACCCCTATTAATGTCTAACCTAAGTGGAGAGGGTTCAAATTGGAGAGTTAATGCAGTGCCCTTTAAAAAGTTACCACCGTTAGAGATCCCGGAGTTTAACGGAGAATNGGTTAAAGATCCCGGAGTTTAACGGAGAATATAAAAATTGGTCGACTTTTAAGGATCTTTTTGAAACTTTAATAAATTCGGATGAACAAATGCCGGATGTGCATAAATTCTTTTATTTAAAAAAAGCTTTAAAGTCAGGTGCTGCTAGAGCCATTCAATCTTACGATATGACAGCAAAAAATTAACATTTAGCATGGAAGTATTTAAATGATCGGTACAATAATACGAAAATTATTGTACAAACTCATACCAAAGCAATCTATGACCTTGATTCTCTTACAAAAGAATCAGCTTCGCAACTACGTCGCTTTTTGGATTCATTAACAGGGAACATGAAAACTTTAGAGCTATTAGGTTATGATCCCCTGAATTGGGGACCAATGTTATTGTATATTATTACAACGAAATTAGATGTAAAATCGTTGGAAGCCTGGGAAACGGAAGCACCAAAAACTCAAGTAGCTGAAGTTGAGAAATTAATTGAATTTTTAGAAAAAAATTTCAAATCCTCGAAGCTATTGAAAGTTCTAAAAAACAACTTGAACCAAGATTTAAAAAATTCAATGGAAAAGGACGTGAACAAGAGGTATTGTCACGTAAAGCAGTTATGCACGCTGCAACAATGAATTTATCTTGTTATATGTGTTCAGAAAAACACCCAATTTATAAGTGTGCAAAATTTTTAGCGTTGTCGATACCGGAAAGATACCAGCAGGCTGCCAGGAGTGGTGTTTGTGAGAACTGTCTTTCCCGACACGCTGAAAATAAATGCAAATTTAAAGGGTGTAAGAAATGTGGTAAATTTCATAATAATTTACTTCATATTGATAGTAAAAAGGATGTTGATGATACGCTTAATGTTGTGTAAACACACGCCGCGCAGAAAGCTGGAAAAAATGTGTTGTTATCCACAGTTGTAATAAAAATATTTGTAAAGACGGAAGAATCGGTTTACGCTCGTGCGTTATTGGACTTAGGTTCAATGTGTAATTTTATCAGCAACGATTTATCAAATAAATTAGGCCTGATATGCAAGCGAGTCAATTATTCAATAGAAGGTGTAAATGCGGCCTCGAGTCAAGCGTCTTATCTAGTAAAAACAATAATACAAACAACAAAAGGTTCATCTCAGTATCCGCTACAATTCTTAACTTTACCGAAAATTACAAATAAATTGCCCCTGGCACCGGTCGATATGACCGCCTGGAAAGTTCCAGAGGGCATAGATTTAGCCGACCCATCGTTTAACGTACCAAGTAAGATCGATATTTTGCTTGGTGCTGAAGTATTTTTTGAAGCTCTAAAAACTGGTCAAATTAAACCGTTAGAAAATGGTCCATTGATTAAAGAAACCGTGTTCGGGTGGATTGTCGCGGGTTCAGTTCCCGTGAGGAACTCAACACTATTGCGCTCTTTTCATGCTCTTAGAATGAGCTTAGAAAAGATAATAAGTTCCCCAATCACTACTGAAGAAAATGAGCGCGTCAAGCATTTTAATAAGACGGTAATTAGAGATGAGGAAGGTCGATTTGTGGTATGTTTACCTTTGCGAAAAAATTACAAGCAATTGGGAGACTCCCGAGCAACAGCGCTCAAACAATTTTTATCATATGAAAATAAATTGCTTAAAAATGAAAAGTTGAAATCAGATTACTCAAATTCTATGGATGAATATTTGCGATTGGGTCATATGGAAAGAGTAACAAATAATGTAAGTCCAAATATAAAACAATATTATATACCCCACCATGCGGTGTTACGTGAGTGCAAGTCGACTGCAAAGTTACGCGTAGTTTTTAATGCGAGTTGCGTTACTACTACGGGCTTAAGTTTGAACGATGTCCTGTTCAAAGGTCCAGTAATACAAGATGATTTGTTTTCTATCCTTACACATTTTCAAACTCATCAGTATGTACTGTCGGCGGACTGCGAAAAGATGTACCGCCAAATTTGGGTTAGCAAGGATCACCAAGATTTACAACGGATTCTGTGGAAATCACAACCAGATCAGCCCATTGAAGAATTTCGTCTAAAAACTGTTACTTATGGCACATCACCAGCAAGCTACTTAGCTACTGGTTGTTTACAATAATTAGCTTATGAATATCGTCAACAATATCCAGACGCACATAAAGCGTTAATGAATGATATGTATATGGACGACTACCTGGGAGGTGCCGAATCAATACAAGCGGCTATTATATTACGCGATTACATTATCGAGATAATGAAGTCAGCCGGTTTCAAACTACGTAAGTGGGCATCAAATTGTCCACAAATGTTAACTGGTATACTAAATGATGACAATGACCCACTAATCGTTTTAAATTTAGACGACAACGAAATAAAAACATTAAGATTGTGTTGGAATACTGACAATGACAGCTATCAGTTTAAATTAAATGCGGAAGAGAAAACAAACATCAACAATACAACCAAAAGAGCGGTATTGTCGTCGATCGCTTCCATTTTCGATCCTCTCGGTCTTATTGGTCCAATAATTATTAAAGCAAAATTAATTATGCAAAGGTTGTGGCAATTGAAATATTGTTGGAATGACTTATTGCCAAATGAATTACAGCAAAAATGGCTAAATTATAAGAACTCGTTGATACAAATCGAAAAAATTGAAATACCACGGTGTATAATTGGACGTAATCATGTGCAGTCAGTTCAAATTAATGGATTTGCCGACGCGTCTGTTCACGCATATGGATGCTGTGTGTACTTAAAGGTAACTGAAAACAATGATGTTTCATGTATTCGGCTAATCGCAGCGAAGCCAAGAGTAGCTCCTTTGAAAGTAATCTCTTTGGCTCGATTAGAACTATGTGCGGCCGTTTTACTTTGCCATCTAGTAGAAAAAATCGTGAACAAATTAAATTTAAATGTAAGTAAACGTTATTTTTGGTCCGACTCGACTATAACGTTAGCTTGGATCAAATCGTCATCCAACAGTTGGAAAACATTTGTTGCACACCGTGTTGGAGAAATACAGTCATTAACGGCGAAAAATGAATGGAATCATGTTAGGTCTGCTTAGAACCCAGCTGACATAATATCAAGAGGCTGTACACCTGATCAACTTTGTTATTCAAAAATTTGGTGGGAAGGCCCTGATTAGTTATGTTATGATGAGAAAAATTGGTCTTTGAGTACGACAGAAGCGCCGCCTCTACCTATGGAAGTACTTGAACAAATAAATTCGGTGATGATAACCGTTACTACAACAGGTATGGAAATTTTTAATTTAATACATCGTTATTCGTCATGGATGAAATTATGTCGTGTGACATGCTATTGTTTGCAGTAGTTTAATAAGACAATTCGCAAAAAACATTTTCCTTCAACCTCTATTGATGTATGGGAAATTTAAGAAGCTCAAATTGTTTTAATTGAATTGGAACAGAAAAATTATTTTTCAGAGGAAATTAAAATATTACAAAGTAAAAAACTTTTGCAGCTCGGCAAATTAGTTCGACTGCTTCCATTTCTAGATGAAAATAATGTGTTAAGAGTAGGCGGTCGGTTAAATAAGTCAACTCATATCAGTGATGAACAAAGAAATCCAATCGTACTACATCCTAAGTCATTTATTACTAATTTAATACTTCGGTACAAACATCAGCGTTTGCTTCACGCCGGTCCGCAAGCACTATTAGCTGCCGTGAGAGAAAAATTTTGGCCGTTAAATGGACGAAATCTAGCCAGAAAAATTGTACACGAATTTGTGGTTTGTTTTCGTTCTAAGCCGACTGTATTTACACCAATTATGTCCGATCTACCAGAATCACGCGTAGAACCAACTAGAGCTTTTCAAGTGAGTGGTCTAGACTATTGTGGTCCTGTTCTAATAAAAGCAAGTTTAAATCGAAAAGCACCGAAATTAAAAGCTTATATTTGTGTTTTTGTTTGTTTTTCGACAAAAGCAGTACACGTCGAGTTAGTTAGCGATTTGACGTCTGAGAATTTTTTAGCTGCTCTGCGTTGATTTACTGGTAGACGGGGATTATGTACAGCACTTTATTCAGACAACTCCACTACTTTTACTGGTGCAAATCGACAATTAATTGAATTGAGCAAATTTTTAACTTCTCCGGAGAACATCGAAAAAATAAGAAAATTTACAGCGGAGCTTGGCATTCAATGGCATTTTATTCCGCCGAGAGCACCTCATTTCGAGGGCTTATGGGAAGCTGCCGTAAAATCTGTTAAATATCATCTTGTCCGACAACTTGGAGATGTTTGTCTGACGTACGAAGAAATGAACACTGTTCTTGTTCGTATAGAAGCGTGCTTAAATTCTCGTCCTCTTACACCTTTGTCGTTGGATCCAACGGATTTAAGGGCTCTCACTCCAGGNATTACAGCAGTAATGTTTGTCGTTGGATCCAACGGATTTAAGGGCTCTCACTCCAGGTCATTTTTTGGTGGGTGGACCGTTAACCAGTTTGCCTGAAAAGGATTTATCGATGGTGCCATCCAATCGACTCAAAAGATGGCAATTAACAATTCAATTAACTCAACGCATTTGGTCGAGATGGAGTACAGAATATTTGAGTCAACTTCAAGGTCGAACAAAGTGGCAGTCCCCTCAAGGTGTGTCCATAAAAAAGGACATGCTAGTTCTAATTAAAGAAGATAATGTACCAACAATGAAATGGCATATGGGACGTGTTAAAGAGCTTTTCACTGGAACGGATGGTGTGACTCGAGTGGTGAATTGTATACGGAAACTAGTTTGCTTAAAAGGGCCGTTAGATATGTATGTCCTTTGCCAATAGAAGATGAATAATTTTTTTTTTTTTTAAATAATTTTTGATAAATTTTGATTCGCTAATGTCAACTTATATATTATTGTATATTTAATTTATCAACGAATTAATTTTTGATTTGCTAAAGTCATTTTATATATTATTGTTTAAGTAATTAATTAATCTATTAAGTCATGTAAAACAATTTTTTTGTTTTGCTTGAAATGTTTATTTAGTTATAAGAAATGAGCGTTGAATGTATGTAAATTCATTAAAGTCCTAAATATTTTTTTTTGTAAAATTTTGTCGTTAAACTGATTTAAAATTTTTTAAATGTATTTTTCGTATTATTTTACGGCAATGGTAAAGCGCCGGGCGGTATTTTACGTACTAAGTAGGGATATTATTAGTGTAAATATAGATAACGTTCAGTTCCTTTCGAACCGACTTCCTGTTTAATAAAGTAAATTTTTCAAATTAATTAGAGTGTTCGTGTTTTAAATTTTTAGTTTAGATACCCGCTCTAAAATCAACACTAACACTTTTAGAAAAATATATAATATGTAAAAATAACTCTTCGTGCTATAACATTTACTATAAACAATACAGCTTATACATATTTCACTAACTTATAAAATAGGAAATGACTGGTTGACATATTTTGGATCTGTCATTTAGAAGTTATTAGCAGTATTTTAAAATATTGACTTGAGGTGAAGCGTGGATCCAAGAGTTATTACAATTTTTTATTTTATAAGCTACTTAAATATGTATGTTGACATTAAAAAAATTAATTCGACATCTCTACAAGTTATGAAAGAGGATGCTAAAAAGTAATTGCAGGGCTTTTTGCAACAACCAGATAAATCCACTTTTTGAAATTTTTTAGGACAATGTAAATTTTATTTAAAAATTTTTATTTATACTAAAATAGTGTCAACATAATGTATTTGAATTCTACACTCATTTTTACATACATATTTGAAGTTAGATTTGAAAAAAAAATATTAATATTGAAATATTGTTAGTCAAAGATGAAGGGAGCATGGAATTATCAGGTTGTTGCACTGAAAAACACTTTATTTTTATTAGTACTCAAATTAAGTAAATGTTATTCTTTAATATATTTGGATTTTTAATGCTCTGATTATGTATAAATACTAAATAACAACTTAAGTTTTTAAAAATGTCAGATAAATCCGGATTTATCTAGTTGTTGAAGCAAATTACAGAATAAGATAAGTAGATTTCATTAGTAACTCCATAACTATTGATCGGATTTAACTAGTTGTTGTGTCTGAATTTCAAGAATAATTTCCTTTATACATTTCCGTAATAAAGTGAGTTTTGAAAAAAAGTGGATTTATGTGGTTGTTGCTGCAAGCCCTTCAACTATTAGCGATTAAAAAAATATCTAATTAAAAAAAACCAGCACAGGGGGTCGCAGCACAAAAATGACGTGGTATAGATAGATCAAGTATAATGATATCTGACAGTGATTAAAATCACTATCAAAAATAAACGCTTCGATGCAAATCTTTAGATAGTGTTTAATTTTAAAAAAATTGGTGTTTTATTCCAAAAGCTACTTGAT